GGCTAGTGGATTAATTTCATTGCTGCATTTTGTATTTCGTGTTTCACATGTATGTCGAGTAGCAACTGAAGATCCATTTTTTACAAACAAATAAATCAAAATAGAGCAACAGTTTATGATCCCCTAGTGGGACAGCAGTGAGTTTACGGACATACAACGCTAAACTCTGGGGTTCGATTCCCTTCGGTGGACATAACAGATAACCCAGTGTGTTTTTTTTTAAATAACAAATAAAACAAACAGTTAGCATCACTATCCACATTGTTTAAGATTTTGTTTAATGGGAATTTTTATCATCGTTTAGATTTATTCAACAGATTAGTTTTAAAATATTTCTCTCTTGGAATACTGATTTGAAGACAGTTGTATTTTATATATTATTTTTCTGTGATATTAAAAATTGCTTGTTGGTCACTATATTCACAAATTCCAAGTATGGTATTAACAGTTCTTCTTGTCTTTGTCCAGAGTTCCATCAGCCAGTCAGTTCTACTGTAAATATTAGAAGTTGACCTGCTTTGGAAGATTGTAGTAACTCATAGAGAGTAAAATAAAAAAAAGCTTGTATGCAATAAATATTTTATCTCTTTGTGGCATTTTTTTGCCTGTTCCACTTTTCATAGTGTCTGTGTTCGTTTTATTCTCGTGGAATACATTTTCTCGAAGCTCCTGTATTGTGGATTTCATTTTACCTGTCAGTTACAGTTTTACTTATGAATATTACAAACTAAGTTAGAAAGTCACAATTTTGGTACCACGACTAAGATTTGGTTTTGGATAATTTATTTTCAACATGTTCTTATGTTCTGTTTGACCGTTTTCTGTTGAGTTTTTAAATAACATTTATATAAAAAGAGAAAGCTGTTGTTAAGATGAAAACATGATCTAAGAATACACCAAGGACTGGCAGATGTTTTTTCCTTAACAACTTAACATTTGATTACTTCTCACATGTAGAGCACCGTGAAACCGAATAGTATGACTTGTATGTTCATTGATTTACCTAGGCATCACCAAATGCTAGTCAAAGAATTACCTGTGGACAGAGAGAGAAGAAAGTTGTATATATAATGGATGAGGTCCTTTGTTTCCTCAAATGGTTAAACTTAGGAATAGGCAATGAAATTCCTGATTCTAAAGCTGGATGATTCAGTGCTCGATGTCTTGGAACATTTCTTTGATAAAGAACTTGATGACTGAGGATTGATCATCACTGAACTGTACTAATGATTTAATCCTAAGGAGACATAAATGATCCCCAGAGTCAAACTAAAGGCTTCATGCCATGGGGTTCTCACACGATCTTGGCTACTTAAGTGGACAATCTGATTCAATTTGATGGGAAAAAGTTTCTATAGAATGTTGCCTCCTTATCATGAGGAATTCTTCATCGTCAAATTTAAGGAGGGTGATGCTAATTAAAACCAAGCAACACTATACGAGTCTCAGGGACATCTCATATTTTATAGAGACTATATCTGTGACACCACAGTTAACTCAGCTGCTAAATCACCTCAAGGGTTTATCAACTAAATGATAACAATTGACAGAAACGTTGACTAACAGTTTCATTGTTGTAGGTGCTACAATGTCTCGTGATGCATCCAATGTAGTTGCTTATGAGATAATAGGACTTCCTAGGCCCAAATGACATGGTTACTCCATACGTACTACAGAAGAGACCTTCTAGAAGACGTATATGTAGTGATGGATAACGCCCTTGTTCAAAGTAACTTGACAGGACATTTGATGCAAACAGTATTGCCATGAAACAGGAGCAGTGAGCCCAAATCCATTATAACCAATGCCAAAGCAGATGTAGACTGGTATACAGAAAACTATGACTGCATCATCTGTCTAGTTTAAACTAGCAAAGCTTCTTCTGGGTCTGGTAACAAGCTACGATAAGTATGTCAGTCTAGATGTAAGCTCAAAGGGTATGGAGTTTAATTTGGACAGCCATGGGCTAGGCATCACATTTTATGTTCCTGTGAAGCTTCATAGGCAAGAGATTGAGTTTCTAGTAGACATTGCAGCAGCCAGAACCTTGCCCTCACTATTTATCAAGAATTAAAAGTGCATGCACCACTTTGGCTTGTCAACACAAACATATTCTTGAAAACAATAACAAGGTAGATGAGACCAGAGAGCAAGTCTCTTCATGCATTGGCACATCTTTCTGTGCATAGACACTGTTACTCAATGAACAGAGGCAGTTGTGTCTAGTCTTTATTCAGGCACTGTAATTCCAGGAATGGACATACTTGTAAAAATTTCTGCTAGTTTTGTTTGTGTAACAGGAAAACTACAGCTCTATGAAAAGACCATCCAATGTTGAACAGATTGAGCTCAATAGCAGTTCGACTACACAAGTTCATATTAAGAGGAAGGTTGCAATTTTTCCAAGCATACAAGAGGAGCTCCATGATGTGATGTAGGTGCATTCTAGTGCTTTGTTGCCATTTGTAATGAGAGAACCAATAAATGAAACACTGTGTTCTGTCCAAAGATCAGGTTTCTCTAACTCAAACAGTTACATGTCCAAGTGGTAGCATTATGTCAGTATTGATCTGTGATTATAGACATTGGACTCTTTAGATTTCACCTGTAATGATTATCACTACAATAACAAAAGTATAAGTAGAAGTGTTGCAAACCAGCTATATAGCTGATGTTACTGCAGATTTACCACATCCAAAAGTGAATGCGTATATATATGTATCCAGTGAAATGTTTGCCATGTAAGCCTCTTTGTAAATACCATAAAGTTTCAGCAATGACATCAAGTAGATATTCAAGCATGAGCTAATACAACCTTCAAAAAGTGAGTTATTGTGAGGAAGAAGAACGAGACACCAAGGAAATGTTTGGACTTCAGATTGAACATGGTTACACATATTTTCTTGTTGAGAACAGATGATTGTTTGGACATGCTGGAAGGTGCCCATTGGATCAGTTCACAAATCGAACTTTCAATTACTAGTTGGCTGAACAAAATAGGTCTAAAGGTGCTTTCTGCACTCCAATGAGACTGTATGAATTTATTTTCAGGTAACTCAGTCTGTGTTACACATTAACCATTTTTGAGAGGCTGAACTTACATAGCGATTGCTGCAGTAGGAGAGATATCATTTAAATGGATGACATTTTGACAATTAGTTGCGTGTTTTTCAGGTTACTACTAAGAATTTAATAATAGTGTTTCAGCTTATCAAAGGTGCAGGCTTAAAAATGAATCTAGGAAAGTGTGTATTAGTGTGCATTAAAGTGGAATTTCTTAGACAGGTAGTAGGCATTTATTGGATGTCCTCTGATCCTGCAAAAAATGCAATAGTAAAGGACTGGCCTCAGCTAAAGATCAAATGAGAAGTCTCGCACTTTCGTATTTTGCACCATACTACTGATGGTTTGTAGACAAGTTCTCTAATTGCATTAACTAAGGCTGAAACACTTTGGATAAACAGATCAATGTGAGCATATATTCACAAGCCCCAAATTATGCTTTAATTAAGTCACGAGTATTAGCTTATTTTCATTAAGACTGTTCATTCATCCCAGCTACTAATGATAGTTATAGTGGAGTTAAGGAGGTTATTGTCACTGACACAGGACTGTGTGGAACATTAACTGAGATATTTGAACCCTATGCTAACAGCTATTGAATGCCAATACACTCCAGTTGTAATATTTGTCAAACTTTACTATCACTGATTGTAAGGTAAGAAATTTACTATTTGAGTTGACCATATGAAATGGCTGATGAATGATCTCACCAAAGAATGAAATTATTCTTTCATTGAACATTAAAACCCTAGGTATCATGCAATGGTCAAAGCCATAGTAACAGTAGTGATGACCAATCACATGGCAGGTGAATATTCTATATATATGGATAAACACTGCAAACGACTAATTGGAAACTTCAATAATTTCAATTAAAAGACCTAGTGGTAGTTTGGGTGATACTTGCCATGCAGCAAAGTGAAGCAAGATTGTCAAAAACTGGCAAATGCAGTACTGGTGCATATAACATTTGTCACTTGTATGCTCAGTTATAAGTGTAGGAATATGTGTAGTAAAACATAAAAACATGGTAGGTGACCTGTGATACAGCTAGTGGTCCACAAAGATATTAAAAGCAAAATATACTTCAGATTTTGTATATGCGAACCTAATTGGATGAACACCTACCGTATGTCATGATAGCATAGTGTGCATCTAAACAACAATCTACCGGTTGTTCTCTGAATCTCCTGATATACGAGAAGAAGTGCGGCCCCTATTGAATATATTTGAGGCCATCCACTCATTATAGATGTACTTCACTGTCTACCAGAATATCTGGAGTGGTTGCATTTTGCTGTTGTTGATCCACATAAATTTGTGCATTAGTAGTTGAGAAAAAGTGGTTGTGCATCAAAAGAGATGTTACGACGAAAACGGTAGTAGACGGAAAGTTCGAGCCTAATGGCTGGGTATGTGTATGGTACGCGTCTGCAACGCTTAAGTTATTTCTTCTGGCTGGACTGGTCTTGTCTCGTATGTTGACAGCTCAGTGAAGTGAACCATGAACTGCAGTAGTCGCATGATGCGCGCGATTGAACATCACGGATGAACCTCTATGATTATTCATTACATCTAATACCCCCGTGGAAGAACTCATAACGCTAAAATCCAGAGTTAGATTCTCCGCGGTGGACAAAGAAGATAGCCCAATGTGGCTTTGGTCTAAATATAAACAAACATTACATCTAATACTTTCACTTACTTAAGACAAGAAGTTATTTTACTACTCCTTCAACAAGGTATTTGTTTTCTTTTTGTTTCACCCCCTTTTAAATTATTAATTAAATATAATGTTTCATGTTTGGTTAATCACAGAGATAGCGAATCCACTTTTTTTATGAACGGTTTTACACACTGTCTATCAAACATTCTGTACTTTGTACTTCAATCATGTGTTCGATATTTGACTTAGAAAACTATCGCAGCGTGGCGTTGATGGATAATTGTAAACTAATCGATTGTGAGACTAGTACTTGCTATTTGTGTCGATATTATAGTTATACTTAGTAATACTAATAGTAATAGTTCCAAGGAAAAGTGAAATGAAAATAATTGTTTTGGAGTTATTTATAAACAAATGTTAAACTCCTTGTGTTGAATTAAAGTGTTTTGCTAAAAACACAGTATACAGTGTATTTCGTTTAAAAACTAATCTACATTGAAGGTAAGAGAATTTTTTTAAAATAATTTTATTTTATCACTGAACGTCTTGACTTAAGTAAGTTTTGTGCTTTACCGTTTACGCCTGTGGCAAATTAACGTCCAGCTTTTAGGCCTAATTACTATTTACTTATTAACCCTGGTGCAGCAGAAGCTGAAAGTTAATGAATAGTGAAATTACGATATTAAATAAAACTGTTTGTAACTTGTATTACTATTAGTTAAGCCTCTGACACCGCAGTATCTTCCTTGAAACATGATTGCAGTATAAAAGTTATAAAAGCAAATAATAAAATCAAAATTTAAACGAAATACGTTAATAAACTATAATAATAAACTAAAGTAAACATGTCTGTTTGACCCCCTCCGCCCAAAAAAAAAAAAAAGAAATGCAGTCCTGCTGCTGTAAATACTTGAATGACACATTTCTATTCTAAGTATTTTGAACAATTTAAGGAAGTAAACAGCAATAACGCTGGGAGATTTTATATCTCCAGTCTATTATTTTCAAATAAAAGTCAGATGATTGGTAACTATTAATCCATGATGTGTTTAACTTGTACCACAGTTTTCTTGAATGTGAGTTAATGTGTGGTACTTATACTGTTTTAACAGATTATATGTATATATATATATATATTATAATAATAAATATTTTGTCATACCTTTGAACAGATAAAATTTATTCAATTATTCCTTACTATGCTGAGATGACACAATTATGCATTATTCATATTATCTACTAGTACTACAATTAAAAGTTTAAAGAAAAGGCTTTATTGCATAAGTCAGCAAAATTGTCAAGCATTAAATATCAAGTGTTTATTAGATTTTTAAATATCTGTCTATACACCATGGTTAAACTATAGAAATTCCTGATGATTAGAGGTTCATTATGTGGTTTCTGTATATTGATTAAAAAAAGATTTAAGGAGAATCCAATAATCTACAGGTCTATTAGTTGTACTTTTGTCTTTAAAAAGGCAACTTGGAAATTGCTTTTGAGAAGTTTGAAGATCTTGATCTATTGGATTTTCTCCTACTTTTATTTGGTGGTGGTTGCTTTATATAGCTAATAAAATTATACTGAATGCTTCAGAAACAAAGACTTAACCAACTCTTATTAATTTTGTTTAATTCCAGCTGCTTATTCAGATGTAATTTGTTGAAAAAAAAATTATTTTCAGTTACTTTTTACTCCTGTAATGTTTTCTGTACGTACATGAACCATTTTACTTATTTCAGTTTTCCTAGTACTAGAATCCTTCTATTTGAAAGCAATACACAGAGTCAGTTCTTAACAATGTTAACTTTTATTGTTAGTTTATTGTAGCAATATTCATGTTATAAAATATTTCTTTTTCTTGCAGATTCAGACATGTAATTAAATTGCAAAGGGTTTTTCATCTGCAGACATTCTGACAAGATCAAAAATAATTGCAAGAAGAACAAAGGAAGAATGAATGCTCAACTTGAACACTGTGATTTTACTATTACAGTACCGACAAGCTCTAGTATGAATGAACAGCTACATGAATGTGATCTTTGTAAAAAGGGATTTAAAAATAAAAGAAACTTGAAAAAACATTATTTAACCCATACAGGAGAAAAACCTTTTCAGTGTGATGTATGTGGAAAGTGTTTTTCAGTTAATGGAAACTTAAAACTTCACATCCAGATTCACTCTGGAGATAAACCGTATGTTTGTGAAATATGTGGGAAAACTTTTAGACTCATTTCTCACTTAAAAGAACATAGTTTTGTCCATGAAGCCCAAAAACCTTTTGGATGTGAAATATGTGGGAAAAAAATTATAAGGAAAGGGGACTTAAAAAAGCACTACCTAACTCATACAGGAGAAAAACCTTATGGGTGTGATTTCTGTGGAAAGTGTTTTTCAATTAGTGGAAACCTAAAATCACACATTCGAACTCACACTGGAGAAAAACCATTTCTTTGTGACGTATGTGGCAAAAGCTTTAGACACGTTTCTCAATTAACAGAACATAATTTTGTTCATGCTGGAGAAAAGCCTTTTGTTTGTGATGTATGTGGGAAAAGATTTATAAGTAGTTCAAAACTCAAAAGGCATCAGTTTGTCCATACTGGTGAAAAACCATACAGTTGTGATTTCTGTGAAAGGAAATTTACACATTGCGAGTCCTTGAAGCATCATCGGATGATTCACACTGGAGAAATGCCATTTGTTTGTGATATCTGTGGGAAGAAATATAGACACATGGGAAGCTTAAGACATCACAAATTGATTCACACTGGAGAAAAACCATTTGTTTGTGACATATGTGGAAAGGGTTTCATAAAAAATACAACATTAAGACGTCATCATTCACTTCACAGTGGAGAGAGACCTTTTACATGTGATGTCTGTGGTAAAAGTTTTATTAGGAATGAAAGTGTAAAAAAGCATTTACGTTTACATAGTGAAAAGACCCTGGTCTGTTAATTTATTAGGGAATGAAAAATGTATTATTGGTACATTGCTGGAAATATAATGATCCTAATAGAACAGCAAACTGCAAACTGAAATATGTACTGCAAAAAAACAAAAAAAGTGTCAAAACAGTTCAGGTTGCAGATATATATATCAGTTGGCAGACATTTAAGAAAACTGAGGGTGAGAGAATTTGTTCAAGTGTAAGTTATGGTTGTTGGTTGGTTGGTTGTTTTTTGTTTGGGGGGGGGGGAGGTCCAAGGAAAAACACTTAATAAGTATTATATTTTTTGCAGAATTAAATACCAAATGATAAGAAGATACATGATAATTAAGAATAATGAAAGACTTCAAGGATATAGTAACTAAAAAATAGTAATATCAGAAGATATATATTATCAAAGTTAGTGAAGCATGATCCATTTACAAATATCAAAATTGTGAATTTGATAAGTCTGTGAACTGTAAAGACAGTTTCTAGTTCTTAAAGCTAGGCTTATAATAATATGTGCTATTAAAGAAAGACTTACTTCAAATACTAACTGGTGTTATGTATCTAGACATTATCTGTTCATTTAATGAAAAGATGAGTGTGAAAATAAAATAACTTGTTGAAGGCAGCACAGCATATACAGTAAAAATAAACTAAATGCAGCTAAATGAAAGTATTATATACATATATGAAGATTATAGATAAGGACACTGTAGTATACAATGTACTTACAATTAGATGAATTTGATTGCATGTATGTACTTTCAATACAGAGAGGTAGTATCTATATTACCAAAGATGAAAAAACTATGGATATGATTTACCACTAAAGATGACATCACAGTGAGTGCTAAACAAAGTAGATTACGTAGTAGTCTACATAGATGTTTCATAAAATGAGTTCTTATACGGTTAGTTGTGGACTTCAGAATACACAAAATTTTGGGTGCTACTATAGCGTGCGGTCTACACAGATACTATCGTCATCACCGTTTTAACTTTCGTTTATTTGCAATTGGTGCCAGTTATTATAAATAACGCTTTTAAGCTAATAAAGTAAAAAATACCATTACATAACATTTTTGGGGACAAATATAACTGGAATGAAATAAATTTCAATAATCAAAACCAGCACATTTATAACCTAAATTTAAGGCATTCTTAATTTATTAAATTATTATATTTGCAGAACATAAATTTGGATAGATATAAATCATTTATCAAGAAATTATATTTTAGTGAATCATTAAAACTGTGATGATGATAGTATCAGTGTAGACCACACGCTATAGTGTAAATACCTTTAGACTGCATGCTATAGGAACACCAAATTTTGTTTAATTGCCATTGCTAAGACCTATATACACTATAAAACAGAAAGTCTATACTTGTACCTTGGATAGTACAATGTATATAGTTGTTAAAACTGAAGAGTTCATTACCAGTTCTAAATTAAAGATGTCTCATTTATATGTATTTCCTTTTTAATTGTGTATTATAACATCAATAGACATCACTGAAGGTGACACAATTAAACAACATTATTCATACTGCTGGGTAAGATTAACCATTTTGTATAGTCAGAGCATGGACAGTATCAAACGGACTCAAAACAATAACAGTATTGTAAAATATTGTTACTGTCCCGTCAAGTGTTCCACTAAAGACTGATATTTTCCAGCATCCAGTGACTGCTTTGTTCAACATGTGAAAACTTTGTGATAAGTTCCACACCAGGGTCAAGAGTTTTAAATTTTTTACCCATTCCAATATAAAAACCAAAACTTTAAAAGTTAGCAGTCCACCATTGTACCGTAGCAGTGAGGTTTTTTAAAAAAATATCATTAAGGATAAGAAATGTACACAGCTGCCTAGAATGTGAAATACTTAGGGCACAGCTTTAGTTTCTGCTTTGGATACCAGTTAAGTTATTGTTGGCTCTGCTTGTGATACCCAACATTTTGCTAATACAGTAAACTCTGATATAGTTTGTTACATAGTTTCTATTTCTTAATTAAACTCTTCACAATTATGATTTTTTTTTACTGACATTATCAAAAAGGTTTGATTTTGATCAGTTGCTTTTATTCTAATAGTACTTATTTTACATTCAGGCTGAAGTTTTATGCATCATTAGTTATTCTGGCCATAAACAGTTGTCAGTATTATTCAGTGGGGAAAGCTCTAGTACTCAATATAATGTTTGTTCTCACATTTTCAGTTAGCAAGCACTAATGAGTTTACTACACACACAAGTATCGGTGCTACTATAGCGTGAGGTCTATCGCCATATGGCGCCTATAGCGTGAGGTCTACCACTGCATTATCCATCCCTCATGGGT